CCAAACCCACTTCTAGCAGATATTGTCCTCTTTGAGTTTTTCCCCTTCGGGCTCTCAAGATTTAATTTAGAAAAATTAATTTTATTTTTTTTGGCAAATATAAATCCACATTTTTTATATGAAATATCACTTAAAAGAAAATTACCCATTTAACTCTCACATATTTAATATTTAAATGGATTAGTTAGCAATTCATCTCGGTAATTACTTATGCAGAAAATGTGTTTTCACTTCAAATTCACTCTAGAGAGAATAAACAATGTCGTACCATATTAGGGAAAATAATCTTTTTTATCTTTGTCTTTACAGATTCGACAATATCAATTTGAGTAGCGTTTAACCACCACTATAAATATCGAACTCTAAAGTATTCATAAGCAAAGTAAATCCTTTAAAACTATCTATCAAAGGTGTTTCAAAATGAGCTGTGAAGACGTGTTGCCTTCAAATCTAAATCCAATTAAGGATGTCAATCACAAAAAATTGCAAGAGGCTGGATGGTCTGCAGCGGAATAATATAACGAGAGGAGTGGAAATTGTTTCATTTACAAGAGTGTGGTGAACAGTCTGACCAATCTGATCAACGACAACCTAGGTCCTCGATTATATATAATTGTGATAGAAGCTTTAAATAGTGATGGTATTCCTTGGTCATATATTGCAAAGGTACAGCACTTTGGGGTTCACCACAAAAGACCCGTTCTCTTATCCTTTGAAGATGTCCTTAAGGATTTCAAGAAACATTAGTTTGCGCGCTCTCTCTACATATAAGGGGGGCGTTACTCTCTTTAGCTATGAAAATGGCTTAGACTACAATAAAATAATCACATAGTTATCTATCTATATAAACGTATTAATTATGCATATTAATAGGAATAAATCCTCTCCTAATATATATTTTAAAATTTTATTAATTTTATACTAGAAAGAAATTTAAAATGCACTAATATATTTAAAAATAATTTAATATATATTTTATGCTCAAAATTTATTGAGGAATGAAGTTCAAAGACAGGTAGCTCCGGGAAGACAGAGGAATTCGAGAAGAAAGTACGGCCCAAGATTGTGTCAGTGAAGACCAAGCCCACCTCCTGGTTCTCACCCTTAAAGCCATCTACAAAGTTTAGACTTTCGAAGAAGGAACTACTAAAAAGTCCTATTCCTTTCCGGTCTACATTCATCAAAGGCACTGCGCTGGGTCGATATGTTTTCCTGCCTCCCGCTTTGGTGACATTTTCTTCTTTCTTCGGGATTCTATTGAACGGGGTAGATCCACTTAACTATAAGCCAAATCACGTTTAAGGCGCATAAACAAAAGGGCGCCTTCGAATACATAGGGGCTACTTTAGTCAATCAAAGTCCTAACTAAGTAAGGAATCTCCAAACAGAAGTACGTACTGCACGGCCGAGAAAGCGATTGAGAAAGCCAAACATTCTATCTGGATCTTTATTCATCTTCTCCTGGTCCTTTTGAAAGAGAGCTTATGAACAGGTTCGATTCAAGATCGACCTTCTTCTCTTTCCTTCATATTCACTCTATTCTGACAACCTAAGGCCTATAGGACCTTAATGCTCAACCTTAATGAATGACTGCATGGGATTCACGAGAGAATCTACCTTGGGCCGGCCTCTCCTTCATTCCTCACTTCCTTGAGCTCGATGCTAGGAGTTCGGAAGCTACCTGTTGATGCGGCTACCTCGATCAATGGAGTGCCCGATTTCCCGTATGAATGGCTACTCATGGACAGATAGAGTACCCCCTTTCGTGCGTTTTTCTTTTTATTGGCTCGACTTTCCTCCTTTTTTTTTCTTGTCTTTCAGGGGACTAATCCTTGAACTAAAGACCAACATGCTATTCCATTCCGAACAAAGGAAGGATAAGGTTCTTTCTCTCCTCGTAGCTCAGTAGCTAAGCTAAGAGTTCTTTCTATAGCGGTTGATGAGCCCAGGAGATAGAAGGTAGTTGGCTTTTGAGTTCAGCATACCAGATGACTTGCCTTCGAAGTTCTTAGTTTTTTCCTAGTGGACTGACTATAAAGAGTTAGGAATTCTCTTATCTATCCATTATAGATATGAGTTAGCCTCTGTAGCTAGCCAATAAGGCAACTGAGGGAAAGGACACGCAAGCTCTCTAGTCGTGCATAGTCTGGCCTATCGTTCAGTGTAGGAGACAAATAGAAGGAAAGTGGTCGCCAGAATGGATCCGTGAGCACTTAGGAAATCTCTCGAGAAGTTGATAGCCTTAGTCTCGTGAGGTTCGCATCTTCAACGCCCTTGTCTACCCAGGAAGAGATATACATGGGAAGTTAAGTGTTTGGTGGAATTTATATTTATACGTGTCTAATACATGTCCAACATGTTTCAAACATGGACATGATAATAAGTTGTTCTTATACTCTCTTTACACTCGGTCAAACCGTATTTGATACGCTACCAAAATTTTGCCTAAATTAATAAAAATACTTCTAAAACTTTAAAAGAATAATATTTTAAATTTTTTTAAAAAAGAATTCTATAAGACATAATACGACAAAATACACTTTATTTCTAGAAGCGTATTAAATATTCTTTGACCAATATAAAAAAAGCATGAGAATAACGTCTCATCTTTGAAACCATGTACTAAAGATTAAAGGTTTTATTTCCCTTTATCAAATCTATGTTTATTCCCATCTTAGTTCCTTTGGTCTAAACGACCCGTTAAATGACAAAATTAAAGTTGTAGTTAGTCAATCGTAATATTTGACGTGCTAGTTTTCAAACTACTTTGAATGAGTATAAAGAAAACATCAGAATAACTTATCCTCGTGTCCCTCTTCGACACGTATTAGATATGTATCGAACACTTGTTAGTACAATGAAACGTACATTGATAAAAAGTGATATCTTTCACGAAAAAAAAGTTTAATTCATGTTGAGAGTACGTAAATTTCACTCGAGAGAATAATCAATATTGTATCATATTCGAGAGAAAATAATTTTTTTTTTAATCTTTGAAAAATAAGAAAGAATAAAAATTAAAACTTGGCACGAATGACTGAAAAAGTATACCTACACGATGTTTGTAGTACGAGTAATACACTAGTCAATGCAATCATTATCTAAACTAAAGAATTTGATTCGATGCTATCACGTAACAGAGAAATGCTTAGTTAGTCTTTGTTTAGGATTCGGCTATATCTATTCGTGTAGCGTTCAGCCACGATTATAAATATCGAACTTTAAAGTATTCATGAGCAAAGTAAAATAATAGGAGGGGTGGACATTGTGTTCATTTACAAGCATGTGGTGAACGGTTTGTCCGATCTGATCAACAAGAGCGTAGGTCCTCGAATGACGATGGTATTCCTTGGTCATATATGGCAAAGGTGAAGCACTATGGGGTTCACATGAAAGAGGCTAATTTCTTATCATTTGAAGATGTCCTCAAGGATTTTAACGAGCATTAGATCGCTCTCTCTGTTTAGACTAAGTCCTCTCTCTATATATATGGGGACGTTATCGTCTCTTAAATGTGAAAATGGCTTATACCACAATCAAATAATCGCATAGTTGTTGTATCTTAACTTATCTCTTTCTTTTTCTCAAATTTTGTCAAACTCAGCTCTTAGTTATGCATATTAAGTGCGAGGTCCCACGTCAATTAAAGAAGGGAACGTGATATGGAAATCAACCCAAGGGAAAGTATAGAACGGATTATCTTGATGATCAAGATCAAGAGTAAAGAAAACTAATTTCTAAACTCGTGATTCGAATCACTCCACAAAAGGTTTGATTACCACTTGAATAACTCTAGCATGTAAGTTATAAACACAAGAATTTGCAAACAAAAACTTAGCTCTCAACTAAAATTCCATTATTAATTTGAAAATCTAATGTCTCTAATCAAAGAAAAAGAAGCTTTATACGTCTTTACAACCTTAACTTATGTGATAAATAACTCCCAAAATAAATAGGCTAGTAAATGAGAAATACCTATGACCTCGTATTAAAATAGCTAGTTATGATTAAAATGGTCAGTTAATGTGGAATATGATAACGTATGTGGGTTACAATATAACCTTAACTCATATATTTAAAACTAGCTTAAACATGACAATCAAATAGGTAAATTATAATTAAATAATGCAATAAATGAAATGTGTTTATTAGTATCCTTAGACTAGTTTCATAAATTCAGCTGAGTTCATTACATACAATAGAGTGCATTTAATTCATCTCTTTCTTGATGTTCAACTTTGCACAACATATAACGGAGGTTTCCAACGTCTTCTAGAATTCCTTTGATGAGCTCACCATAGCTTGAATATAAGTGTATAAGGTTTGTTGTAGCTTATTGGCTCTTGTTCTTGTAATTGGATCTTGAGGTATGGAAATTCCTTGGTCGTGGTTCATATCAGAACAAGTGCCAAGAGGATGCAGGGCAAGCTGAGCCCTGAAGGGAGTGAATTATGAAATTCTACATCGATTGGGGAGGAAAATGAAGCATTTTTTTGTAAGGGTAGGTAAACCTCTCTCTAACAAACGCAACGGAAATCTCAGGACAATATCTGTTAGCAGTGGACATGACTTTATACCTGTCAGTGTGCCAATGAAAACATTCCGTGAGTGATGGTAGATTGTGAAATAATCTCATATGAATTGGAGAGAGAAACGAGTGCAACAAATACGCTCACCCCCAAATGACCTATTTTATAGGGTTATAGAGTTGTTTTGAACAACTGAAAGGGTCGATTCTATAAAAGCGAGAGGAATATATGGAGAGAGATGATTTGAACGTGGGTTTAGGGAAAAGAAAGAAAAGGTGCGTAGTAAACTGAACCGGTGAGTAGCAGCAGAGCAACAACAATGGCAGAGGCACCAAAAGAAAAGGCGCCAAAAGCAACACACTCGGAAGCCAAGGGGCCACCCCCCGCCCCCCTCCGCCTCCCCGACATTCCAAAGTTTCATCACACCCATCACGAAAGCGAAATCTCCCCAATTCCAAGGTCTTATTCCATTCCATTTCTTCTATTTCTGCAAGAATCTTTCCTCTCCTTTTGCTTTTCTTCCCAGTCAGAGCTCCCCTTTTGTCTTTAAGACCATCTCATATCTGATGTTAATCATGATAAAGTTCATCCTTATCGTCTTATTAACTCAAAAATCCATCTGGGTAACATCAAATTCGCCTTTAAATCTCTTTAATCCCCTTCCCCTTTTGTGTTCTTGATGTTTCAATGTCTGTTTATGTAAATTATCTTATACCCATGTTACTAAATTGTCTTGATGTGTATTATTAGTAGAGAAACAGGATATATAGCTCAAATTCTTTTGGTTTTACCCAAATGGGCTGTCTCTAAGTGCACTTTCTGAGTTTTTCTACAAGATTTCTGCTGGTTTGAACATAGAAAAGTATCAGATTGTTAATAGAAACTGGTTTTTTTTGTTGAGATCTTGGAGTTTTGTGCTGTTGGTGAAGAAAAATATAGTTCCAATAGCAAGTAATCTGATACTTTCTTGGGTTGTTAACTCTGCTTGTTATCATATGCTTGTTGGCACTCCATGAATGTTCTGCTCCAGGCATCTGCATTTGGAATCGAACGTCGGCTTTAGGCTTTTTCGACTTGTCTAAAGAACATTGTTGTCGTTTCGAGCAGTCTTGAGCTAGTTCACTTTCATTCTTCAACTGGTTTTGTTCATAGGATCGATGGCTCAAGTGTTTCGTAATTCTGTGGTTCTAGTCATTGTCGTCCTTTTTGTTAGAATCGATCTTTCACAGCAGTTTCAATCGTCTCCGACTCGGACCCTTTTAAGAATACAGAAGCTTCTGAACTTCCCAGCTGCATTGAGTAACTGGAATGACAGCACAGATTTTTGCAACCTGGAACCGGATGCCTCCGTGACCGTTGTATGCTATGAGGGAAACATGACCCAGTTGCATATAATTGGCAAGAAAGGAGCTCTTTTACTACCCCGTAACTTTTCGATGAGGGTTTTCGTTACTACCCTTGTTAAGCTTCCAGATTTGAAAGTTCTTACATTAGTTTCTCTTGGTTTATGGGGGTCAATACCTGGAAAAATTGCTCATTTATCATCATTGGAAATACTAAACATGAGCTCTAATTTCCTTTATGGTGCTATCCCTCAGGAAATTTCGTTGCTGTCTGGTTTACGAACGCTTATACTTGATGATAACATGCTTGCAGGACAGCTTCCTGATTGGTTCAGCGTGCTTCCGCTTCTAACCGTTTTGAGCTTGAAACACAACATTCTCAATGGATCATTGCCCGATTCATTTAGTGAGTTGGAAAATCTTAGGATTCTTTCCCTATCGTATAACCGTTTTTATGGAGAGTTGCCTGATCTAAGTACTTTGACAAACCTTCAAGTTCTTGAATTGGAGGGCAATGGCTTTGGACCTCAATTCCCTCAACTTGGCAACAAGTTGGTTACCCTGAAACTGAGTAGAAACAAGTTCAGATCTTGTATCCCTGCTGAAGTTAGCTCGTTTTACCAGCTTCAACGTCTGGACGTTTCTTTGAATTCTCTGGTTGGGCCGTTGCCATCAGTATTGTTTTCTCTACCATCTCTTTCTTATCTCAATATATCAGGGAACAAGCTGACAGGAATGATTTTGGATAATATTTCTTGCAATGATGAACTTAAAGTTGTAGATCTATCCTCAAATCATTTGACTGGAAGCTTGCCCAAATGTCTTCTAGCCGATACGAGGAATCGGGTTGTCTTGTATCCAAGAAACTGTTTTGTCACTGGAGATCAACAGCAGCATCCCGTTTCGTTTTGTCGAAACGAAGCATTAGCTGTGGGCATTATACCTGAGGAAAAGAAAACGTACCAATCACGAAATACCTTTCTCGCCCCGAGTATAGTTGGTGGTGTTGTTGGAGTGGTCATTTTGTTCGGTATAGTTTATTTGGTCGTAAGAAGAAAGAATGAGAAGAATATGGTGAAGAATCCTCCAACAAATTTAATAGTAGAGAATCCTTCTGCTGGGTACACCTCGAAGCTGCTCTCGGACTCAAGTAAGATCCTTTTTTTCTCCTCGACCTGTAGTTTAGCTGCTTTTTCGAGAACAGGGCGTACTAGTTCTTGTGAGCAATGACATTCTTTGTGAATTGGTCAAAAACTATGTAGGATTGTTATTTTAAGTCTTCATATTTTGTTATTCTTTTCTAGTATTATACCCTATCAAAATGAGTTAAAATCCATTCAAAAATGACTGTAATGTGAGGTCCCACGTCGGTTGGAGAGGAGAACAAAACATTCATTATAAGGATGTGGAAACCTCTCCCTAGCAGACGTATTTTAAAACCTTGACGAGAAGCCCAGAAGGGAAAGCCCAAAGAGGACAATATCTGCTAGCGGTGGGTTTAGGCAGTGTGCCAATGAGGACGTTGGGCCCCCAGGGGGGTGGATTGTGAGGTCCCACATCGGTTGGAGAGGAGAACAAAACATTTCTTATAAGGGTGTGAAAACCTCTCCTTAACAGATGCATTTTAAAACCTTGAGAGGAAGCTCCGAAGGGAAAGCCAAAGAGGACAATATTTTCTAGTGGTGGGTTTGGGCTGTTACAAATGTTATCAGAGCCAGACACCGGGCGGTGTACCAACGAGGACGTTGGGTCCCCAAGGGAGTGGATTGTGAGGTCCCATATCAGTTGAAGAGGAGAACAAAACATTCCTTATAAGGATGTGGAAACCTCTCCTAGCAGACGCGTTTTAAAACCTTGAGTGGAGCTTAGGAGGGAAAGCCCAAAGAGATAATATCTGTTACCCGTGAGTTTGGGCTGTGTCACATATAACATCCATAACTCTCAGCCCGTAGTTAGACGATAATCTATATAAGACGTGTACTAGCTTGAAGCTCCATATGGATGCTTATTTATTTTGTGAAAGTACCATGACTGAGATGAGTAGTGTAGTAGCTAACAAGTCCCTAATGCATTTTGATACATTACCTCTTTCTTCATCACCTTCAGGGTATATATCTCAAACAATGCCATTTGCGCCGCTCGGCCTTTCAACTTATAGAGTGCTCTCATATGAAGAGATTGAGGATGCTACCAACAACTTTGACTCTTCTGCTTTCATGGGTGAAGGTTCTCAAGGACAGGTATAACAAAATCTTGTATGTGATACCCAACTCTTTCATTATGAACAATGTCCGACTTTGACTCTTTTGCATTCATGGGGTGACGGTTCTTAGTAAGGTTTTGTTGATTTAGTAGCTTCAATCTTTGTTCATTACTCGCTCTGTTTCTTCTGTAACTGAAACTTCTTCTTGCTTAAATTTCTATAGTTCCAATTTCAACTGTGAGATCCCACATCGGTTGGAGTAGGGAACGAAGCATTACTTATAAGGGTGTGGAAACATCTCCCTAGTGAACGCATTTTAAAACCTTGAGGGGAAGCCCGAAAGGAAAAACCCAAAGAGGACGATATTTGTTAGCAGTGGGCTTGAGATGTTACAAATGGTATCAGAGCCAGTCATCGATCGCTGGACCCTCAAGGGGGGTGAATTGTGAGATTCCACATCAATTGGAGAGGGGAACAAAATATTTCCTATAAGGGTATGGAAACCTCTTCCTAACAAACGTGTTTTAAAATCTTGAGGGGAAGCCCGAAATGGAAAGCCCAAAGAGGACAATATCTGCTAGCAGTAGGCTTGGACTGTTACAAATGGTATTAGAGCCAAACATCGGGCGGTGTACCCGCGAGGACATAGAGACCTCAAGGGGGTAGATTGTGAGATCTCATATCGGTTGGAGCGGGGAACAAAACATTCCTTATAAGGGTGTGGAAACCTCTCCTTAACAGACACGTTTTAAAATCTTAAGAAGAAGTCCAAAAGAGAAAGCCCAAAGAGGACAATATCTGCTAGCGGTGGGCTTGGACTGTTACAAATGGTATCAAAGCCAAACATCGGGCGGTGTACCAGCGAGGACGCAGGACCCTCAAGGGGGGTGGATTGTGAGATCTCATATCGGTTGGGGAGGGGAACGAAGCATTCCTTATAAGGGTGTGGAAACCTCCTAGTGGACGTGCTTTACAACCTTGAGGGGAAGCCCGAAAGGGAAAGCCCATAGAGGATGATATCTACTAGCGGTGGGCTTGGACTGTTACAAATGATATTAGAGCCAAAAATTGGGCGGTGTGCCAGCGAGGTCTCTGGTCCCCCAACGAGAGTGGATTGTGAGATCCCATATCGGTTGGAATTGGGAACAAAGCATTCCTTATAAGGATGTGGAAACCTCTTCTTAGTGGACGCGTTTTAAAACCTTGAGGGGAAGCTCAAATGGGAAAGCCCAAAGAGAACAATATCTGTTAGCGGTGGGCTTGGGCTGTTACAACAACGGAAAGAGTTATTAAATCATGTACTCGTTTATGGTGGCATACAAATTTTGTTTGAACAAAGCGCTTTTTGTACACTTCATCTCTTACATCAAAGACTTTGTCCTTTTTTTGTTATCAGATGTACCGAGGTCAGCTAAAGGATGGCTCTTTGGTTGCCATTAGATGCCTTAAAATGAAAAGAAGATCTAGTATCCATAACTTCACGCATCATATCGATCTTATTTCGAAACTCAGACATCGTCATTTGGTTAGTGCTCTTGGACACTGCTTCGAGTTGTACTTGGAAGACTCGAGTGTCAGCAGAATATTTCTCGTCTTCGAATACGTTCCAAATGGCACGCTTAGAAGTTGGATATCTGGTAAATGGAAATGGAAATCACCAATGTTCATGCTGATTTCATTTCTGCATTTTAACTATTTAAATGGATTGCAGAGAGGCACACGAGGCACTCGAGGCGATCGCTTGCTTGGACACAGCGTATAGCAGCAGCGGTAGGAATAGCTAAAGGCATCCAGTTTTTGCATATGGTCGCTGGCGTATACTCGAATAACATTAAAATAACAGATGTACTACTGGATCAGAATCTTGTTGCAAAAATTAGCAGCTACAACCTTCCTCTGATGGCTGAGAGCATGGCTAAGGTACAACAAAGAAGCATGCCAATCTATTCATCTCCTTGGCCCTTCTTGTTCTCTCTAGTTCATAACGGCCCGGTTAACTTCTCAGGTCAGTCGAGGAGTTTCTTCAGGTGGATCAAAGGATTCGAGCGATCAAGAAAGGTTGGTTATGAATATATTCTGTGAGATCTCACATCGATTGGAGAGAGGATCGAGTGTCAGGCCCTGAAGGGGGTGGATTGTGAGATTTCACATCAGTTGGAGAGGGGAACGAAGCATTCTTTATAAGGGTGTGGAAACCTCTCCTTAGCAGACACGTTTTAGAAACCTTTAAAGGAAAGCCCAGAAGGGAAAGCCCAAAGTGGACAATATCTGCTAGCGGTGGACTTGGACGATTACATATTTAACGTATATTCACCTTGCTTCACAGGATCAATCAAGAAGCTCAAGCTGACATCTATGACTTTGGAGCAATATTATTAGAAACCATTCGTGGGCGATCCTTCAAATCGAAAAACGAAATAAATGCTCAAAGGGAGAAGGTGATAGAGATTACTTTTCTTTTCAATACGTCTGTGTGCGTGCGTGTTGCATGGAGAGTAAAAGACCCGAACACTACGAAACTTATCTATGAATATGTCAAAGTTGACATGATTGTTTATGTTGTTACATAAGGATTATGACGTTCTTTGATGAATGCAGCTACAAGAAGCCATTTCAGGGGATAGCGTTGCGCGAAAGAACGTAGTCGATCCCGCCATTCAAAACGAATGCTTAGATCAATCATTGAAGACAATGATGGAAGTTTGTGTGAGGTGTCTGCTCAAAGATCCAATAACCAGACCTTCCATTGAAGATGTTATCTGGAATTTGCAGTTTGCTTCTCAGGTTCAGGACACTTGGTGCGGTGAGTACCGAAGCAGCGACGGGTCTCCCGTCTCCCCTTCTCAACCGAAACTCTCAATCTGCTGAGTCTCACAAAGAGGTTCATTTAGTTTATCCATATCAGTTCTTGGATCTTCATAGACTCTTTCTGCTGCCATGAGCTTCACTCTGTTAAAAGAACAGTTTAGTTGGTTTAGTCTTCAAAATGAACAAAGTTTGGTTTAATCTTTTAATCCTTGAACTTCAAGCATATGGTTTAAACGTTATAGTGGTGAGAGTCGCAAAATGAGTGTCTTACACGTCTTCTTTTGAAAATGAGTTTCTCGAGGACAATGTTGGATTGCTGACATTGAACCCCAGCCCATGAATTGGAGGTTGATATATTAGGTTGTTCTTTCGTACGGTATTTGTAAAGAACTAAACGTGGACACAGGAGCATTCATGTCTTGATAATACCCGGATGGATGTTTGAAGCGTTTCTGCAATGAAGACGACTCGTGTTGATTCTCGATAAGTATGTCCAAGTAAACAATAAGGATTAATGACGTTTCAAGACTTGGGATAGCATCACAATGCATGGGCCATGTTATGAATCAAGATGACAGAATGAGATGCGACATTGCATATAAAAGAGCTTGGCTTAAATAGGGACAAGGTCGAACTAGATAACTTGGCTTAAAATAGAGGCAAGTCGACTAAGAGTCACGAGCAAGCAAACATGCACGCACGGGTGGTGTGTATAACCAAACAAGCTTTGAGTTCTCTTAAGGCTTGTCATGTTCATATCAAGATTATAACGCTCCACAGTTGTAGATGTACGACCATAATAGTCTATAACATCTCATTTTTTAAATTTCTAAGTATATCGAAAACATAAGAATTTATAATTGTCATTTTTTTTTCTTTTTTGTGACATAATTACTACAACGACGTTAATACTCAACAATTTATCTCTTTTAATCGTCAAATAAAATACCCATCGAAGTTTTATATCCATCCATTTCAAAATGAGACACATTTATAATACTTTAATTTACGCTCCTATGCAATTCATATCAAATTTTTAATGTTATTGTCGATTTTTTTTTAACAAATATACAACAGAACAACGTAAAGATGCTCGTGTACCACAATAGGGTGACGGAGCACACATTGACACCCCATTGCAAGGTCTGAGACGACCTAGAAAACACTTGAACATTATCAACTTTGTAAGCCTACTTGAATCAGCCGTCTGTCCTATCATCATACCTAATAATCCAATAATTATGGTCGGTGATTGAAACCGAGCAATTTAAGAATATGCAGCACCATTTCAATCTAAGTTCGTCCATTGTTTCCCTAAGTGTCTGTGAAAAGACTTCATTTTCTAAGAACATAGGATTGGTTGTTACAAATTACAAGATAAGATGTCCTAAAATTCAAATGTTTGGTTTCATGATAGACACTTTTAATTTTATATTACTATAGTCAACCCAATAGTTTATATTCATAGTCAACATTTTTTTTTTATAGGGTAAATTAAAAAGAAAATAGAATTAATTAGAAGACGCGTTCAAAATGCAAAGTTTTATTTTTATCGAAATGCGATGATAATTTTATGATATATTTAATGATATATTTATAATATTTCATGTGATAATGTTTTTCGTTTTAGGATTCAGAATTTAAATTTGATATTTAATGACTTTAAGATACAGATGTAACTCACGAGCCTCACAGTTATATAAAATTTCTCCTTCATTATCGATTTTATTATTTATTGAACTTCCCGGGTTTTATTGGTAGCCTTAGAGGCTAAACTTCACGAAATCGTAGAAGCCAATAATGTTTGGGATGCTCTTAAAATCCTAAAAAAATATATAAAAAGAAGGGTCAAAGTAAAGTTAGACAGAGGCTCAAGAGGAGAGAGAAAATTTTAAACGAGTACTCGTGAGACCTATAGATACAATGAGTTAATTATTCTTTTTAGAGCGGTATCGGTTTACGATCCAATAGCAAGACTTAAACTCATAACCATCTTAAACTCGGCTAGCAATTACATTCTTTTTTAGGTAAGAATCAGACTTATATTACGTGTTTTTCGTTATTATTTATTAATTAAAATTTTACTTTTAAACACTAAATTTCTTATTTACCCCTCAATTTCATGTATTCTTTTATATAAAAATTAAGTTTTCTATTTAATTTATTAAATACTCAATTTTAATAAAATATTTTTGTTTTATATTACAAATAAAATTTATGTATATTTTTCCAATACAAATTCATGTGAATGAGTTAAAAATATGATAAGGGTACTTTAGTAATTCTACTACAAAACCTAATTTGATTTCATTTTACATCAAATTCAATGAAAAAAAATTATTAGCTAATTTTTTAATATTTTTTTATCGTTTATTTTAAAATAAATATTTTTTTTCTTATAATAAAATTATATATATAGATATATTTATTTTATTTCATAATTTGTTTATTATTGGTTCCGGAATGATTTATAAAAATATTCTTTTACAATTTAAAATATTATTTTTTAAATTATAGATTGAAATTCTATCTTAATTAATAGTTTAAAAATAAATAAATAGATATTTTGTTATTAATAATAAATATAATTTAAAATTTTAAAATTTATTAAGGTAAGAATAAAAATTTAGATATTTTAAAAATAAAAGTAAAAAATAAAAAAATAAATGATTAGGTTGCTTCGTTGTCAAGCATGATTATAATAACAAAGTCAATGATTGTGTGGACTATAAATATTCGCATGATTTAAAAGTTGAAAAGGGCGGCCACTTTCCTTCTCCCTTTTTCATCTACGCAATTTTCTCCTTCTCCGCCCTACGAACAGACCAGATCGCAAACCCTTCACCTCTCGATCTCTCTCAATAGCCTCTGTTCGATCATCCATGGCGACCAAGTTCTTGTCCTTGGCATGTATTCGGAGTCTGAACAGCGCCAATCTAACGCCGCGCCCTCATTATCCGTCTATGCCGAAATATCCAGCTGGGGTTTCGTTGCTGGAGAATAGCCTTCCGGTGACTGAATCCACGGCGTTCTTCTCCGTCATCGGCATGACTTGCTCTGCTTGTGCTGGCTCTGTTGAGAAGGCAATCAAACGTCTCCCTGGGATTCGTGAAGCTGTTGTTGATGTTTTGAATGGCAAAGCTCGAGTCCAGTTTTACCCTAGCTTCGTTAATGTTTGTATTCCTGTCCCTCTCTCTCTGTTATTTCACGCGCTTGAATTTTGTTTTTTCAAATTTGTTTTGGTTTTCGTCTCGTCTTGCAGTCGCTTTCATGTGATTTTAAATTAAATGTTTAGAGTTTGACGTACAATTTAAGAAATGGCTGGCTTACGTTCCGTATATTTTTTTTAATCGATCAGATTGCGCCTAGAATTGGTGTGACCATTCAACTACAATGCTTGATCAATTGTAAACGATTAGAGTTCTTGTTTAATGCAGCTATTTTCCTGCGTTGTATGATATTTTGTCCCACGATTAGGATTAAATGTTTTTCGTTCCTCAGAACTTTTTAGCCTCAATTAGCCTCAACTTGATTTCATTTATATAAACTATGTGGTTGCTATTTTCCATGAGGTGGTAAAGAGAACATCTAGCATCTGGGTTTCCCTTCTGGGCTTCCTCAATGTTAGCATGTCTGCTAGGGAGAGATTTCCACACCCTTATAAAAACGGTTTCATTTCCCCTCTTCGACCGATGTGGGATCTCACAATCCACCACCCTGTGGGGCCTTGCGTCCTTGCTGGCACTCGTTCCCCTCTCCATCTATGTTGGACCTCCCAATTCACCCTCCTTCGGGGCCCAGGGTCCTCGTTGGCACACCGTCTGGTGTACACCCCTCTTTGGGGCTCAGCCTCCTCGTTGGCACACTGCTCGGTGCCTGGCTCTGATACCATTCGGTACAGCAGAAGCTCATCGCTAGCAGATACTGTCCTCTTTGGGCTTTCTATTTCGGGCTTCCCCTCAAGATTTTTAAAACGCGTCTGTTAGGGAGAGGTTTCCACATTCTTATAAAGAATGCTTCGTTCTCCTCCCCAATCGATGTGGAATCTCACAAGATCATTGACACTCATTGACACTAACTGACAAACCTTGATCACATTGAATTGTTGTTTTTGACTTCCTCTTGATCATGCACACAGGTGGATCAAGTATGTGAGGCAATTAACGATGCAGGCTTTGAAGCAAGTATACTCAATGATGATATGATTGAAAGATGTCGAATTCGTGTAATTGGAATGACTTGTACATCTTGTTCCACAACTTTGGAATCTACATTACAAGCAATTCGTGGAGTTCAAAATGCCCAAGTAGCATTAGCCACGGAAGAGGCAGAAATTTGTTACAACCCAAGGATTTTGAACTACCATCAACTTCTCCAAGCCATTGAAGATTCTGGATTTGAAGCCTTACTTATTAGAACAGAAGAAGATGTGAGCAAGATACAGCTCCAAGTTGATGGAGTGAGATCTGAGAATTCAATGAGATTGATTGGTAGCTCTCTGGAAGCACTTCCTGGAGTTTTAGGTATTGATATTGATCCTTCACTCAGCAAAATTTCCTTGTCTTATAAGCCAAATGTCACGGGACCTCGGAATATAATCCAAGTGATCGAATCAACTGGGTCGGGTCAAATTAAAGCAACAATATTTCCTGAAGAACAGGGCAGAGATGCCTATAAAAAGGAGGAAATTAAGCAATATTACAGATCATTCTTATGGAGTTTGATATTTACAATTCCAGTATTTTTAAGCTCCATGGTCTTCACTTATATACCTGGTATTAAGGATGGGTTGGATACCAAAATTGTCAATATGATGACTGTTGGAGAGCTTCTGAGGTGGGTGTTAGCAACTCCTGTACAGTTCATCATTGGAAGGCGATTCTATACTGGCTCTTACAAAGCGTTGCGTCATAGATCTGCAAATATGGACGTTTTGATTGCTTTGGGCACAAATGCAGCATATTTTTATTCAGTGTACATGGTCTTAAGATCTGCAACCTCAAGTGATTTTAAGGCCACGGATTTCTTTGAAACCAGTTCCATGCTAATTTCATTCATTCTCCTCGGGAAATATCTCGAGGTCTTGGCAAAGGGAAAGACATCAGACGCTATTGCCAAGCTTATGAAGTTGGTGCCTGAAACAGCAACCTTGCTTACTTTTGATAATGATGGAAGGGTCATTAGGGAAGATGAAATTGATAGCCGATTGATACAAAAGAATGATGTAATTAAAGTCATTCCTGGTGCAAAGGTTGCTTCAGATGGAGTTGTTGTTTGGGGACAAAGTCATGTCAATGAAAGCATGATTACTGGGGAAGCCAAGCCAGTGGCAAAGAGACAGGATGATTCGGTGATTGGAGGCACCTTGAATGAGAACGGAGTGCTACATGTGAGGGCGACACACGTTGGATCAGAAAGTGCTCTTTCGCAGATTGTTCGTCTCGTC